TTGGAACTTTGTAACTGCTGCTGTTAAGTTCCCAAGACAGGAACACTGTTGTTTAATTCAGACTCTGAGGTCCATGGATACAGTTGAACCAAAGCAAATTCATTTCTATGTTTGCAGTCCAAAATGCCCGCTGCTCCTTCTGACACTGCAGAAAACACTGAGCAAACAAAGGAGAAAGATGACCCAGTAAATGCCACAATACAAACACGAAGCAGACGACGAAAAGCCTCGGCTATCACAACGAACAGTGACCAACCTGTTACAAGCACCTCGGAACCCGTTAAACCAGATATTCTTCTCCATCATAAAGAAATGGAGTCGCACATCACCTTACTCGATCAGCACAGCAAGGAACAAAGGGAGAACTTACAACAACATCAGAAACTTCTGGAAATAGAAAGAGGAAAGCTGCAAGAGATGGAAGAGGAGAAAGAACGCCAACTTGGACGGATGATGGATTTGGAGATTAGTTATTCTACAGATAAAGAACGTCTGTGTGAAAGAATCCGAGTTTTAGAAAACGCTTTGGCGGATAAAGATCACTCGTTAACTCAACAAGCTGTTAATATGACCTTTTTAACTAGTGAATTGGAGCAAGAACGAGTTTCTGTACGGCAGCTTCGAAGCGAACTCGAACAAGAACGTGAAGCCAATTCGCATTTGCGTAAAGTTCAGAGCGATCTTGTGCGGGTTCGCCTAGCTCTGGATGAAGAGAAAACTGTACGTAACATGAGGGAACAACAGCTTAAAGAGAAAGAAACAAGCTACCATGGTTTACAAGGAACTTTGGGTGAAGAACAACAAGTGAGATTGAGATTAGAAGAAGAGCTACGCCAAGCTAGGAGTGCTTGCAGTGAGTTAGAGAGAAGGCTGGAAAATGAACGGCTGTCAAGTCAGTCCAGGCGGGAAGATATCCAAGCGAAGGACGATACTATAGCAGAACAACTGCGTCTCTTGCAGCTGGAACGTGAACAGAAAGCAGACTTACAGGAAAGATTAAGAAATATGCAGATTCAAATGGATCAAGAAAGGAACAGGCGCATCTCTATTGAGAGAGAACTTACCGAGGAAAGATTGACCTTGCAGCAAGATCGAGAGAACCTTGAACGAGAACGCGAACGTTACGAACAACGCATCCGCGACAGCGAAAGAAACGCGATCGAAAGCGAGCACCGCCTTCGAGAATTACAATCAGCGGTATCTAGTGCGCAAGACACCCTGGCCGAGTATCGGCGACTCGAGCCACGTGATTGGATCATCCGCCGTGACGAGGTCACCCTGTCTGAAAACAGTTTAGGTGTAGGGGCCTGGGGCAAAGTCTACGAAGGTTCATTCCGCGGGTGTAAAGTTGCGGTGAAGCAGATTCATGAGCTTATCCTGTCTCCTCATAATCGCAGATTGTTTGAGCGAGAAATGAGCATTGCGTCGCGTTGTCGACACCCGCATCTACTTCAATTCATAGGCGCGACAAACGACGACGGAAGCCCTTTGTTTGTGACGGAGTTGCTGGACACAGACTTGAGGAACATTTTGACCCAGCGCGCGTTACATCAAGAGGAGATCATTTGCCTCGCTTTGGATGTCTCTCGCGGGCTCAACTATCTCCATCTCAATAAACCATTTCCCATCATGCACAGAGACATTAGTAGTTCCAACGTGTTGCTTTGGAGACGAGATAACAGTTGGAGAGCCAAGTTATCAGACTACGGAGCGGCAAATTTCATGCGTCAGTACATGACGGAGAATCCAGGAGCAAGGATTTATGCTGCGCCAGAGGCTCTCACTTCTCAACAGTCTCCAAAGGTAAGAAGAAATTTAGTACTGAGTGCGAGCGAGTGCGAAAAAATAAGGAACGAGGGGAGGAGGTGGGGCAGAAAATGATTCCTTCCCTCTCCACCTCTCCCCACCGCCGTCCTTTTTTTGCTCACCCCATATCCACTTCTCTCCATTTTGGTTCAATCCAGGCGCGCTCGTTTGCTTGCTCGCTTTCTCAATCTCTTCGCCTAGAAAATGGAAAACATCTGCTACGCAAGCTATCGTACTTTTAAAGGCGCGCTCCTGTGGAGACAACCCTGCGACCACCCATACCTGCACTCGATGTGGTAGCCGACTGTCACTCCAGCATCAGACTGACCTGCCACAGCCGACGCTGTTGTCACCACGGCACCAAACGACGACCCAGAGGATAACCTATGATCGACATCTACCCAATGGAATTGACGATTTAACGAATATTGTTATTTTTTGTACTATTTTCCTCACAGACTTGTCTCGTTTGCTTTCTTTTAGGCGGACGTTTACAGTTTCGGTTTATTGTTGTGCGAGATGTGCATCAGAGAGCTTCCAGTCCCCCAGCAGATCCACCAACAAATAGGCCTGGTAACTAACGGTGTCCTTCGAGAGCTCATTATGCGTTGTGTCGCGAGGGATCCCGAAGCCCGTCCCGCTATAAGTGACGTCATAGCAGTGTTGACGCAGCAAGC